TGTATTCAAAGCGCCGCCATTACTGTCTAGAGTGCGTGGAATGGTGCGCTGTGATTGGTGGTTACGGTTTACAGGGCGTGGAATGGTGCGCTGTGATTGGTTATTACTGTTTACAGTGCGTGATTTACTTTTCAATACCGACCAGATACAATACTGATTTTGGCGGAAACTCAATTTAAAGTTCAAAAATTAAAATAAAAAAACCCCCAAACTCTTCATTTATTTATCACGAGTTGTTCAAATCGTGGTAATCTAATACGGTTTTATTGATAATTAAAAGATGAAACGGTAATACTAACTGTAGGGAATTTTATCATGATTTATCGTCAAACCGGTAATCGTTACATCTCTAATCAAGAGTACCTCTGCATGTTTACGCACAGGAAAGCACGCGTATGCGTCGTGGTACTCTCGATAATGGCGGAATATGTGGTTTTGAGGAGAAGAATTATTGAATAAAGTCGTTATTTTTGTTTTCTTTGTGCACAAAAAGTATTCTCATAGCTTTGTAAAAATGCGGTTGAACCACTGATGTCACATGGACTGTTTTAACGATGTCCTTACTACTTTTCTGGCTCTGGGAACATTTCAGGTGCATTGTTCTCTATGGAGGGTCAGAAAGCTCTCGGATTTCATCAAAAATATCTTAATTTGTGTTCCGAAGATGAACAAAGGTCTTACAGGTTTGGAACAACAAACCTGTAAGACAAAGGTGAACTAACCTTTCAACTGTTGATTATTGAACAATTTTATTGTTGGAATTTCATCCAAAAATTGTCTTGCACCCCATGCCATACACTGTCTTGCGTTCAGTTCGTTCAACATTTGTTGATCACTAAAGATTTTCTTGTCTTTCATGCATACCCTTGCATTGACATGCTTCATTATTCTAAATGTGAAATAATGATCTTTTATCTTCTTAATGCAGGATATGTGTAAAACGACAACCGAGGCCATTTCATCTGGACAGACTAGTGTACAGGCTGAACTGAGACGTACTGCTAACACTCGTAAGTATCTTAAGTATTAAGTTGTTTTGCACACACACATATATATATATATA